GGTGTCTCTCAGGTGCTTTCAGTTTTAGGTATCTCAGCTCAGGAGCTGTCTTGTCCCCTCCCAGGTTTCCCCATTTTTCCATGGTGTTCCTACTTGCCCATCTCCCTTGTATTTTCAGCTGTCTCAGGACAGCACCAGCCATGGATTTGCTCAGGGCTGGCTCTGCTTGTCTCAGCCTCCCAGGCAGCAGAGCAGTGGTTAATGCCTCTGAGCAAAATATTAAATATTATTTAGTCCCCAAAATTCAACGTTGTGTGGACAGAGAGGGACAGGGGGAGCAGGGCAGAGCCCTCCTGCTCCCAGAGCTGCCAGCCCACCTCACCCAGCCCCCAACCCTGGGCAGCCTGACCCTGCTCACCACCAGCCTTTGCCTTCCCCCTGGTTATTCCCTGCTTTCCAAAGGGACAGAGCCCGGCTGCCAATCCAATGCCAGTGACGACTCCTCGCCTACAGGGAGGCAGATGTGATGGCTCGTCTGCTAAAAACTGAGCCAACACACTGTGATTCAGCCCTCCAGCTTTCCAAGGAAGAGCTATTTCTGAGTGAAGCTCATCTCTTCAGCTCCCCCCACAAACACTCACAGCACTCAGGAGTCCAGCAGCAGCCACTGGCTTTGCATTTGGATATCCAGCTCAAATCTGAAACACTGACAGTGGCTCCTGGCCACACGGTGACATTTCAGGGATGGAATGATGGAAATGCTGGGAACAGGGACAGAGCAGCAGCTCGTGGGCTTGTGGGGATCAGCCAGGAGAGTTTGGTCAGTGCTTTTCTCCAGCAGGTAGTGTTAAACTAAAGGCTTGTTTCAGATGCCTGGTTTGAAGGCAGGTTATACTTCAGTGAACATCTGGCTGGGTTTGTTTCCTTATGCTCCTCCCTGGCACAGGACATTCTTTTGTCTCTTGAATGACACAAAAGAAAAATATGGCTTCCCTTGCCATTACCTGGAGAAGCTGGAGTGGTGGTGTTGGGGGAACACCGTGTTCCTGAACTGACTGTACAAATCACAACAATCATCTCCCTGTGAGAGCTTTCAAGCCCTGCAATCAGTACTTTACATTCTAAAGTGATGCTTGGGTACAGCAGTTAGGAATAGAAAATGGCCTTTCTGCTTGCAGCTGCTTAGGTGGATCATTTGTTTGAGTGGAGTGAGTTTTGCAATGTGCTGCTCACTCAGGCTGTGTGGGACTAAATTTGATGAGTTTTTATTCCTGCTGCCCTTCCCTGACCTCAGCCATGTAAGTGCAGTGTGCTTTTCTTCCCCTGGGTGAGTTTGCCCAGTTTCACCTCAGTGTTCCCTGTGAAATCTGGAATCCTCCACAGGATCCAGGGCTTCAGCAGTTCCTCCAACAGGCTGGGGGTTTGCCCAGGAACTCTCCTGAGAGCAAAGCTGGAGGAAAACTGGATGAGTCAAAGCAAGCCAAAGCAATTTCAGATGAGCAGGGGGGGATCACAGGAGGGGGAACCACAGCACCACCATCAAAGCACCCCTCTGATGATCACCATGCTCAAACAGACACTGCAGAGAGCTCTGGCAAATTCCCCTCCACAAAAACTGAAATCAGTGACTCAAATCAAGCAGGTCTGACTGTCCCATTGCTCACAAAAGGGACAAAGAGCTTCACAGGCTTTTACCCCATCCTGTCCCTGCCTTGGGGTTTTGGGGGTTTCAGACACAGAGTGTCTGATTTTTAAGTCCATTTGTCCTGCACTTGTAAGGCTGCAAGAGCAGGACTGAAGGAACAGGCTACATTCAATTCAGGATTGTAATCTGGAGTTTTTATTATGGTCTTAATAAAGGAAAAAAAAATCTCCCTTATGCTTTAAAGTGGTGAAGGAAGTACCTGTTTTTGCTGCCCTTAACAGCAGTGGCATCTCCAGAGCCATCTCCTAAGCACAAATATCATTTTTCCTTGATAATAAATTCCTATCAATTTTTCCAAAGCAGCGCAGCCCCCACTGCGCCTCCCCCCAGCCCAACACCCAGGGCTGGCTCCCCGTGCAAGTCAGAGCACATTTGTCCACAGCTGACCCACGCAGCAGCAGGCTTGCACAACAAAGAGATGCAGTTGCAGGCTCCCCACGCTGAGGAGGCTTTTTTTGAAACCTTAGAAGTTCACTCATTTCCATTCCCCTTACAGGTCACCACTTGTACTGTCACACCCCTTGTCCTGCACCTGGCCTTGGGCTGATTCATTCCTTCACTGGGAGGATGATGCATCAAGCCCAGATTCTCAGCATGTAAAACAGGGATTATTTTCTCCAGGGGAGACCAGAGCCTGATGAACCACGAGTTTCACCCTGTGATGTGAAAATGGAGGAAAAAAATTCATGATGCACACTGAGATGTGTTTTGCTTTCTGTAAAAGCCCTGGAACTGCCTTTCTGTAGAAGGTGAAGGTTGTGAAAAATCAGGTCTGTGACATCCAGGTTTGCCTTGTTCCTGCTCACTGAAGGTCTCAGGGTAGAGAGGAAGCTCCCCTCACAGGGAAGGCAGGGATTCCCTTTTTGTCTTTGTGTCCCATGCAATGTATAAAGCAGTGTGAAGTCCATGAAAGGCTTTGAGTTGTTCCTCTGAAAGAAGCTACAGAGCAGCACTGCCACTAAAACACCTGAAAAACCACAGGATGATATTGTACTTTCCCTACTATTAATGACTGGAAAGTCCCGAGCACTGTGATAAAGCCAAGGACAGCTGACAGGGTGACATCCCAGGGTTAGGATGGAATTCCCAGAGCAGTGTCCAGGGCCAGGCTGGACACCCTGGGACAGAGGGAGGCGTCCCTGCCATGGCAGGGGTGGCACTGGCTGAGCTTTAAGGTCCCTTCCAACCCAAACCATGCTGTGCTCCTGTTCTCCTGCCCATCAGGATCACAGAATCCAGAACTGCTCCGTTCCCCTCCCAGCCACACTGGGAGCCTTGGAAAGGAGAGCACTGACAGATGTGCCCTTCCCAAAACAGGCAGCTGCACCTTGCCAACAAGGGCTGACACCTTCTGGGGAGCTTGTGAAGGCAACAGGAGCAACTCCAGGTAGCCTGGAGGAGGAGCAGCAGCACCTTCATTATGCTGAAGTGAAACCTGGTTTTATCAAAACTATAAATAATAAATGAGCCATTGGTCTTCATCTGCTGCACGGTATTTCTGGAAAGGCTGGTCTCCTTTGCAGAGGGGAAGATGTGCAGAGGGATTCAGTCCTTCTAAGTCTCATCTTTGACACAAGTTCCCATTTCCAGCAGCACAAAATTAAGTGACATTTCCTCCAAGTTATTTTTCAAAACCCTAGTGAAGATTTCTTTGTAATGCTTTCTACTGAGGAAAAACCAATGCAAAGCTCAATGAGAGCGTGCTCCTCAGAGCTGCTGCTGTGATGCTGTGATCTGTGCTGCACCTGCAACTCTTGGTGCAGCTTTTCAGGAGTAAATCTCACCTGATAATAGAGAGTGCCTCACAAATAACTGTGCCAGCACTCAGGCACTGGGGAGGGAACCTGCTTTCACCCTGCTGCCCCAGATAATGGATTTAGAAACGACAGTAAATATCCAGACACAGGAATCTAGTCCAGTTATTTCCCCTTCCTCCTCCCCTCTTTCTTGGAAGGACAAGCTCCTGCCTCTGAGCTTTGTCTCTGCTGCCTGGGAGCGTGCATTAGGATGGAGTAGATTTTTGGATGTGCTTACAACAGGAATACACAGAGTAGCCAAAAACCCGGGGCATCAATAAGTGAAACTGCTGCCTCCAGTTGTGCTTTGTTCCATTTCACATTGGCCTCTGCTCCAGCACAGGTCAGACACTCATCCAAGGGTTGATAGCTGCTGAATTATGCATGTGTGGAGCAGTTCAGAGCTTCTCAACACCCCCTCTATTCCCTGTGCTCTGAGCTGTGGACACTGCAGGTTAAGTGCACTGCTCAGCCCTGCTGCAGTTCCAGGAACCATCAGCCACTCATTTTCACACTCTCCTTCCTCAACAACTTCCACTGAACCATTTACAGCTCCATTTCTGAACGCTCTCTTTCTGTTCTGACCCACACTCAAAGTACTTTCAATCCAATTTAATTTCATTCTGCCTGCAGAATTCAAAAGTTGTCTCACAAAAATCTGCGAGTCCTTGCTCATTTAAGGCACAGGGACTGCTGATGGAGGAAGCTCCATCAGGACACTCACATTTCCTTTCCCTGTCATACAAAGCACCTGATCTGTCCTGAACTCTCTGATCAGTGAGTGACAGAAAGCCAGAACTGTCTCTGTCTTGGACAGAATGAGATTCATAGCCTGGTTTCACCTGCAGTGAAATGGAAAAAATGTTCCTGTGCCACACAAATTTCCCACACTCACCCCATCAGCATCGTGCTCTGCACTAGAAAAGAAATAAAACCTTGATCATCACTTGCTGGGAAGAGCTGGAGTGCATTCCACCTGGCTAGGGCAGGAAACAACACAGGCTGGGGGTTTTTCCTCACCCATATTTAATTTCTCCTCAACCATCCACAAGATACCACAAAAAAAGCATCCCTAAAGTAGCTAAGCCCAAGGTAAATGTCTTGCTGTCTAATAAAATTAAATAAATGAATTTTTCTCTAGGTACGGTGGAGATGAAGGATTTTCTCCTGCAGCCATGCACAAGATGTGTCTTCCTCTGGAAGCTGGTTTCACATGGTGGCTTAGATTTTCCCACTTTGTATCTAGCACCATTTGAAATCAGTGTTCTAGGAGCAAGAATTACAGCGTGGGAGGAGACCCAGCACCTGCTCACTTCAACAGCATCCTCTGCTCCTCACACCAGCCCCTTTCCAAAGGTTCTTTTTTTGCCAGTCATCCACTCTGTAACATCATCTGATTTCTAGACACTTCTCCAAGCACTGTATGCACCCTCCCAAGGCAGGGCCACAGCAGCACAGCCTCCTGCTCCTGTACTTGTGCTCAATAAACAATGGATATGAGTTCAAGTTGTCCAGAGTAAAGTGATCCACAGGTTGCACGAAAACCAGCGTGGTGCCCTGCCAGGCAGAGTGTGTCTGACACCCAAAACCAGCACCAGCATTTCATTTACTGCCTCAGAGCAAAAGGATTTCCACTCCCTGCTTGGGGACTGCACCACCACAGGATTCTCATCCCACAGCTCTGCAAATACAGAAATTTCACCTCAGCTCTGCAAATACAGACATTTCACCTCAGCAGCCAAGCACAGAAGTGTATTCAGCAATCCCAGAATCCCAGACTGGTTTGGAAGGGACCTTAAAGTTTATCCTGTTCCAACTCCCATCATGAAGATGCCACACAGCACACACAGACCCAACTCCTT